GGCCGTTATCTTAATTATCACTCTTACCACCCCCTATCTATCAAAATAGGCACAATCATAAACTCAATTGACCACGCATTATTATTATCACACAGTAAATTTTTAAGAAAGAATCTCTCTCTCATTTCACAAATCCTAACCAAAAACTCCTACCCGCAACACCTCATCCAATCCATAACAAAAAATAGAATCTTATATCTCCAAAACCGTCACAATAATTTAATTGATAAGCCAAACCTTGAAAACTACGTCGGAACCATAAGTTTACCTTTCATTAAAGAATTACAATAGCCGTGGAGAAAACTTTTCAATAAAAATAATATTAGAGTAGTTTGTACTTCCGAAAACACCTTTTCAACTCTTTTTACAAAATTAAAATCAAAATTTAACCCAAGAATCTTAAGTAATCTAGTTTATAAGCTTAATTGTCTAGATTGTAATTGTGTCTACATAGGTGAAACTAGTCAGAACCTGCACAAAAGAACATCTCAACACAAAAACAATTCTAAAAATAAAAATCAGTATAAAACTGCTCATATTAATCAGTTCAAACAGAACATTGATTTTTCCAATCCCACGATCCTACATTTCGAAAATAATTTATTTAAAAGACGATTTAGCGAAGGATGCTTAATATCTTTACACAAGGATACAGCCATAAATCTAAGAACTGACAACAATTCGCTTTGCAATGACTAAAAATAACCCTAGACCATTTCAAAAACACCATCATGTCTGAATGAAGCGTGTATTTTTATTATTTTATTATTTTACAAAAAACATATGTTTGCCGGTCTTTTTTACACTTTCGCAAAAAATTTTAAACACAATTCATTCAGTTTTTAGACGTTAGTCAAATTGTACACACTAGAATGTAAGCCAAAAAAAATTGTCAAAAAAAAAAAAAAAACTAGTGGGGCGCATGGCATCGTGCCTTAAGGCAAATTGCTGGAACTTCCCGTACCAAAAATTATTTTTTTTTAATAAGATTAACATTTTTGAAAAAAAATTACTCTGAAAAAATAGATTTTTGAGAAACTATAAATTTTTGACAAAAACTGACTTTTTGTTGAAAAATTTATTTCTAAATATTTTGGAAATTTTGAACTTTTTTTCAAAGCAATTCTACTGCTTTAAATGCATAGAGACTAAATATCGAAGCGCGTAAGCGCCGCGTCGCCGTCTAACGGATAAATATTAGTACGGAACCCATAGGAATGTAAACAAAATTTATACTTATTGTTAAAATCTCTATAAAATATCTGATAATTTGATGTGCATATGTCTAATGTCTAATGATTATTGTTGACCGCCAAATGGTATTTTTTTAGTTTTTTGTACTAGATCTCCGAAACCGCTAGACCTATTTTCATGAAAATTTGATAAGTGTTCATCTTGTACGCACACACACACACATACATCAATTTTCTCCAAGGTATGCCAACATATTCAGAAACCTTTGAAACGTAAAGATATATAAAAATTTTCATTTTCGATTTTTTTGCGATTACTATATCTTACCCTACGCAAAGTTAATTATAAATAAATCAATTTATCATCGCCAGAACATTAACAATCGTCATTTCATTTCGAATCAAATTTCAAAAAAAAAAATAGTTGCCAAATTTACACAAAATTGAAAAAGTGCTCCGGCATAGTCACAGTCTAAACGCATTTGCAAATAATTCTGTGCGACTTTTTCACTTATACTGTGCTTAGCTTGGCGGCATTTTCACATTTTTCAATGATTTTCACAAAATTGGAAAAGTGCTCCAGTACATAAACAGTCTAAACGCACTTGCGTAAACATTTGTACCAGAGTGGCGCTTAGACTGTGCTTAGCCTGGGTGATTTTTTGAATTTTTAGACCCAAAATTACAAAAAAATTTTTTTGAAAAAAAAATTCGAAACAAAAAATTTTTTTTTCCAAAATCAATTATTTTGTTGAAACAAGCAAAAAGTTCTTTGAATCATTTAAATCGGACGCTTAGTTCTCTCAAAAACTGCCATTTTTTTAACATTTTGCTCTGTATCTCCGAAACCGCTGGGCCTACCTTTGCCAAAAACTAATCAGCACATCTCCCTATCAATAGGAATCGAATGTTTTTTAAACCATTCAAATCGGTTGATCCGTTCTCTCAAAAACTCGCTTTCTATTTTCTGCACTCTTTGCTTCATATCTCCGTAACGGCTGGACCGGCCTTTGCCAAAAACTAATCAGCACATCTCCCTATCGTTAGGAATCGAATGTTTTTTAAACCATTGAAATCGGTTGATCCGTGCGCCCGAAAACGTGGACGAAAAAACGCGGACCTACAAAACACACACACACACACACATCCATTTTTTCTGAAGTATGCCAAAATGTTCAGAAACCTTCAAAACGTCGAGAAATGTAAAAATTTTTGATTTCGATTTTTGGACGATTACTATAACTTACCCTACGGGAAGTTAATTAATTAGTTTAAATGTTCCAATTATTAATAGCCTGGTTTATCACAGTGTAATAGTGTAGTGTATTTTTGTATAATTAATTTCTGTAAGTACTTATATATAAGTTATAACTTTATATTATTTTCCTCCTACATCATATAAAATTTTTTAGTTTTCCACTGAATGACGGTCTCGATGAAGACCGAAACGTATGGATAAATAAAGTATTTCAAAACTACTTTAGTTTTTTTTACTTGGTGTTACTGCCCGATTATAAATAACTGATCAAAATATATGTATATATATATATATATATATATATATATATATATTATATATATATAAATGTTTCTTGGGCATCCATCCAGTAATTAAAAAACAGTTTTAATGAAAAATGTTTTTATTTAGAGAACATACGTTTCGGGTCTTGATTTGACCCATCTTCAGTGCTACAATTAAATAATTCAGTACATATTACATATTTAACAGACAAAAATAAGTAAAACAATGTATATGAAAAGTATATATGAAAAACAACAATAAAATAAACAAATGTAAAGAAACTCACCATACAAATAAACTTTGAAAAATAACACAAAAACACACAAAATTGCACGAAAAAAATAAATATGAAATAAAAAATTGATGAAACGTCGAGTTATGAAAATTTAAAAAAATTGTAAAATTAAAATAAATGATATATTTTATTATAAAAAAGCTTATTCCAAATAATTCCAAATTTCCAAATAGTTTGGAAAATGTGTTACGTGTGTGTACGAGAGTAAAATGTGTGCGTACGTGTTTGCGGAAAATAGTAGTGGAATAGTATCGTCATTGGATGAGAGAACGGGATAGAGAGAATTTTAGTGGTTTCATATTACGAAGATTTTCTCAGCGATCATGCGCAGTAGGAATAAAGAAAAAATATACATCCATAATCAACGGTTAAACACACTATGTGGATCAAAATGAAAATATAGAAACATAGGGTGCGTTCGACTTGGACGCTTACGCGCTGTGAGCGCTCACGCTTATAAGCACGAATTTTTAGCGTTCGACTTGGCCGATAAGCGCTCAGAATCGATAACTAAATTCCGTTCGTTTTGGATACTGTGAGCGTCAATAAGCATCAAAATGGCGGCAACTGTCTGTCAAATAATAAATAATTTATTAGAAATTATCAATGATGAGTCTGATGATAGTGATGAGTTTGATATGATTGAAGATAGTGATAATGATATGGAATGGAAGTATTGCGAAGCTCATTTGAATTTATCTTTAAAAAAAGAACCTACACCAAGAATAAAAAACTTTGTGGAAGAGGTTATACCAGCATTTTCAGATAATGAATTTAAATCTCATTTTAGGTAAATATTTATTTCAATTTGAGGATTTAGTTAACAAAAAATTATCTTAACCCTTCAGTTTAATTACATGCAAATAATATGTTTTTAAATTTTAGACTGTTCCGATCAACATTTGATTTTGTTCGTGAAAAAATTGAACCATCGTTGATCAGAAAAACCCCAGGATGTGAAATGATATCACCAGACAAACAATTATTTATCGCTTTATGGAAAATGGCTACTCCAGATTCGTATCGGTATAATTAAAAAATCTTACTTATATTTTGAATGACTATAATTATTAAAAATTAAATATTAACCTAATACATTGTTCTTTAAGCTCAATTTGCCAGAGGTTTGGTGTCAGTTTTGCAACAGCGTGGTGGAGTGTGCGAAGGGTTACATTAGCTCTAGTCGAAATAGCTCCAAATTTTATTATCTGGCCTGAAAATGAAAAGCTTGCTGAAATTTCTACTGAATTTGAAGCTACAAGCGGCTTTCCCAATGTTATCGGTGCAATTGACGGAACACATATAAATATACCTGCACCTCGAGAGCATCCGGAATGTTATGTCAACAGAAAAGGACATCATTCAATTCAATTACAAGTAAGTAAGCAGTCATGTGAATTAACAACATTTGTAAAAATTCATTTTTGCTGTTCAAAAATAGGCTATTTGTGATGCTCGATGTAAATTTATTCATTGTTATGTTGGAAATGTTGGTTCTGTACATGACGCACGAGTATTACGTCTGTCAGAAGTGAATGATTACCTCAACGCTGAACATAAATTCCCGAACGAATCTCATTTAGTCGGCGATGCAGCTTACCCTCTTCACAAACATTTACTTACACCATATCGAGATAATGGGCACTTATCAGCAAGACAAAAAAATTATAATTTTTGTCATTCATCTGCACGTATAGCAATTGAACGTGCATTTGGATTACTTAAAAAGAGATTTCGCAGTTTATTGACAGTTCTCGACATGAATCGAACTGATTTAGTTCCTGAGTATTATACATAATCGCTTGTTGTAGCATGCATAATATATGTTTATTAAAAAACGATGAATTTCCGGTGGAGGAAGTAATAGAACAAAATGGAAACATAAATGAAATTTATTATAATAGAATTTTACCTGCTGCTGGTGTTGATAAACGAAATCGTATATGTGAGCAATTAATTATAAGAAATGTTTAATGAAAGCAACTATAAGTCATTTCAATAGCTAAAAATTACAATTATGAGAAATGAACATGAACAAACTATGATAAGATTTTTATAATTATATACACAAGAAAATTGTAAATTAAAAATCAAATAATTTTATACATTTAATAAATTATTTAATCATGTAAATTAGCATTATTAGAATTAGAATCAGCTTTTACAAGCTTTTCTAATAACTCTAAAGCTTGTTGTTTATATTTATTTGATTCTTTAGCTTTTTGTTCTTTAAACGCCATGTATTCCCTGAAGCGACGGTCCTCATTTTCTTCGCTTATCCTAGACCTTTCTTCTAATGCTGCGATTAAATCGCTAGCGGGGGTACTTTTTGCTTTTTTTCCTGCCAAAAAAAAATTATATTATTAGCATAGAGAAATCTTCAAAACAAATTAAATATCCTTACGGTTTGCTTCAATATCCATGTTACTGCTACTGCTACTCCCGCAACTAGCTTCGGATAAAGTCCTTTTTTTCCCAGTTGAAGAGCAAGTCGATACAGGTGTTATTGAAGGTTTATTCTCGATCAGATCATCTATTAACTTAAAAAATAAAAAATTTCAAAAATTACGGTTTTCTGGAAATATAAACAGAGTTACCCTTACAGTCAGATATGGCCGATGTTTAGCTGAATTTCCAGACTTGTTATTGTGGTCTCTTATTTTCTTATAGGTCTTTTTCATCCCTGAAAACTTGGATAAACACTGAGGACCTGTGATGATGTATCCGTGAGTATTCAGTACTGCACTAATTTCCTGCCATAATTTCTTTTGCGACATTTTCCCACTGATAAAATTCATTTGTCGTTTTTCGTATTCATCGAGAAGCAAAAGAATTGCTTCGTGGGGCCATTTAAACGCTGTAATAAACAATTGGCTGTTAAATTATATGCATATTAATCGATTTTGTTTTGTCCTGATTAAAATTACCTGATTCTTCACTTTCAATTCTCATGAATTCAATACTTACATCGCCATTTAAAAAATATTCTGCAGTTTCAGGTTCATCTATTTCGGTTTCTAAATATTTACCATTGCGTAGATGAAAATTGAATTAATAATACAAATTTAAACTTATCATGACAATCAAATTATTTTAAAGTATTTAACAATTTCATGGACATTAAAACCCAAAATATTAATGAAACCTATCGCTAACAATACGAGCAGATTGTTTAGCCTCTAGTATTTTGAATCTTACAAAAGTTGCATCTGAAATTAATATAAGCCTTTTCACCCAAAAAAATAAGATTTTTAAATAGTACAACAATTGATGGAATCGATTAAGTCACTTATTACTTAAGGATTAAAACAAAGTAGATTTTTTTTTTTATTTATTTATTTAGCAATATAAACATTTAATATATCCTATTCTCAGACAGGCGGGGGTGCCTGGTATAAGAGATTATGGATTGCTTTATACATTTATGCCTATTTCTATTTCATATTATTTTATTTTAAAATATCACATTTTATATAAGAAATTAAGTATAAGAGTCATATTTAAGTAATAGGGTCAATCTTGTTTATATCTAGTATAGTATTTTAATTCTAAATTGTAATCTAAATTCTAATTCTAAATTCTAAAGTCTATAATTTTAAATCTTCTAGCCTTTTAAGGGTGTTAAAAAGCAAAATTGAAACAAAACTTCATCCTTACGTAGACGTAATAAAACCTTCAACCAAACGTAATAAAAATCTTGAATATTTTCCCTTTTAATTAATAAATTGATATATACCTGCTCGTAGTCGCTCTAATTCTTCATCCGTAACAGTAATTCTATAATTTTTGTTTCTGAATCAAATAGATCAACAGAAAATAATTGCAAATCACAGCTCGCCATTTTTGCGTAATTATTGAACTAAGAATTGAACTATGAATAAATGAAATTAGGGTTAGCTTATTCTTAAGTTGCATTCGTTTTGACAGATGGTAAAAACAACTGACGCTCACGCTCACGCTGCCCTACCTCTGTGGCGTGAGCATTTTTTTTTTTTTTTTTTTTTTTTTTTTTTTTTTTTTTATTATTATTATTTTAATAATTTTTACAACTGTCCTGAAACGGACAACAAGTAAAATATTTGACATGAAACTGAAGGCGTTGGCAAAATACAAGTCATCTGACCATTGCCAGTGATTTGTCGAATGGTCTCATCTATTGATGATTAGTGTAGAAGAAATTTTCTTTTTAATCGGGCCCTGGTAGAGTTGATTTGAAGTTTTCTCGCGAGCAAGTTCGGGTGATCAGCTAGGCGATTTCTATATTTGTGTGAGTAAGCGATTATTTCATCCTTAACTGTGCTGGTGCCTGAGTCTTTGTGTATTAACCAATTTGGAACATACTTTGGTGCTTTCAAAATTTCTTTTAATAACCTGTTTTGAAATCTTTGAATTATTAAAGCGTTTGAGTTGGAAGTTGATCCCCATAGCTGTATGCCGTATGTCCAAATTGGTTTGATGATGGCTTTATAGAGGTAAATTTTATTATGAGTGTCAAGTTTTGATTTTCGTCCAAGGAGCCAATAATATCTTCTTCTGGTTTCTTCAAGCTGCTTTCTCTTTTTTTAATGTGTTCTTTCCAGGTTAGTCTCTTATCCAGGTGTAAACCTAGATATTTGACTGTATCTGCTTTAGATTTAGATAAAGAAAGATTTACTAATATTTCATTTTATTTATTATTTAAAATTAGTATTTTACAATAAACAAAGTAGCAACAGAAATTGCCCGGTTGCTCACAATTGAGACAATAGTGATAGTAATTGTGACACTAGTGATAGTGTTAACACCGAATCGGATTCTGATAGCAGTACGTCTTTCTCTGAAGATACATCGTTTGCAAGCACCACAAATAATATGAGTAATATTATTAACAACTTGGAAGGTTCTGAAAATACAGACATTGTTTCCGACATACGCTTTTGGGCTAAACAGCAGAATGTGAGCCATAAGCAATTGAATACTTTGCTTCCAATTTTGAGAAAGCATGGCCATCAGAACGAGCCACTATGTGCGAAAACAATTTTGAAAACACCCACAGTGGTTGCAAATACAACTATGGCCAGTAAGCGTGGCAATGTGGGTGAATACGTACATTTCAACATAAAGGACAATATTAATAAAAAACTAAATATGTTTAAAAATTAATATAGTTGATAACTTAATAAATCTTTTAATTAATTTTGATAGGGTTTCAAGTAAGTCATCACAGTTCTGGCCTATTTTGGAATCTCTATATACCAAAACATCACATTCTGTTGATGTTGGGGGGTTCTCAACCCCTTTCGAAGTATTTTATACTCCGAGGAATAATAAAAAAATTAAATGTATCCAGAAAACAAAAATCAATTGGAATACAAATATAAATTAAAAATTAAAGTTCTTCTTAAGCCGTAATTAATAATAAACTAAAATATATTCTATATAAATTTTATATAAATGAAAAACAAAAATGAACACTAATTAATATTGCATGAAAAATGTTATCTGATCTAAAAACATCAGTGTAGTCGGTTGGAAATATAGAAAGGGAATTCGAATACACTGATAACAAAAAAAAAAAATAACTGGTTGACTTGACACACAATAGAAACTTAGTCCACTGATAACATTGAACTGATAACAAACACTGAAAGGAACTGAATGTACTGATTGGAAGTAACCGAAATGAATGAATTAAACCGAATGAATGAAAACCATGGAAAGAATCGACTTGAACACTGAAAGGAACTGAAAGTACTTGTTGAAAGTAACTGAATGAATGAAAGCCACGGAAAGAATGGACTCGAATCCAAACTATTGCCTGCATCGGCCTTTTCTGAGTCGGAACTGCCCGATTGCGTAATTTTTGAAACGTGTTGTCCGAGTAGAAAAAACAAACCTTTTACAGGTCCGACAACCTATACAGGTGCGGCGCAAACACATTCCATTAAGCCGTTTGTGATTGGATTGTACTTTGAAGATAGTAAACCCGATTGTGTAAGTACGTAATTAGAAAGATTTATAAATGATTCAAATGATCTTTATAATTCTGATTTGATTGATGAGAATGTTCTGTATAAAGTCAAGATACACAAGATTTTTTGTGATTATATAAATGGCTTATATAAAATAAAATATAAAAGCCAGGGCTTATATAAAGTGTATTAAGGGCCATAATGGATACAACAGTTGCGAAAAGTGTACACAGAAAGGAGTTAGGGTAGATGGTAAAATTATTTTTCCATTAATGGATGCGAGTCTACGGCATCATGAAGATTACATGTTAGTGCTAGAAAAATAAGATAATCATCAACTTGATAGGTCTTTATTATTGAACCTTGCTGGAATAAATTTTGTGTAAAATTTTCCTTTGGACTATATGCATATGGCTTGCCTTGGTGTGATGCATAAGTTAATATATGTTTGGGTGAGAGACAGAAACAGAAACAGTAATTGTCCCATTAGCCAAACATATATAACTTCTATGTCTTTAATGCTCAATAATCTGGGATCAATGTCACCATGCAAGTTTCAGCAAAAACCTAGATGTTTTCAAGAACTTGATAGATGGAAGGCAACGGAGTTTCCTGAGACAATTTTTGCCAAAGCAGGTTTATATAAATTTCATGTACTTTCATTATGCTATGCGAATAACTTGCAGTGATGAGTATATTGTCAAATATGGACATAAGGCAAAAGAATTCATTCGCAAATTTTGTATGGGAATAAAAAGAATTTTTGGAGAGAACATGTTAGTATATAATATGCATTTTCTATAGGACAGATTATGCAGTAAGAGAGCAACAGAGCAACGCGGTGTTGATCATTACAGCTGTTTTGTTTTTGGAAGCTATTTGGGTCAAATTTTAAAGTTAGTTAGGGGACCAGCAAAACCTTTGCAACAAGTTGCATGTAGACTCATTGAGAACAGTGGCGAAATTCATACACCGCAAAAATAGTGTTTCGTTTTTTAAAAAAATTCCGTAATAAAATTTATTAAAATAAATGGAATAAAAATAAATCCTAAAAGTGCAACTGATTGTTACATAATGATTAAACACAACAGAATAATGAAAGTGCATAGTATTTATAAAAATGATACAAATTATTATCTTAAAGAAAATATTTACAAGTTCAAATTTTTATAATAGTAATCACCCAATAGATTTGCACTTTTTTATATATCTGACTTATCAACATTTGTTTTTCATGTAGATATCAGTGTTCATGTAAAAATGGAAAACTTGCATGTAGCTATTAAATTATTGTATATAATAAAAATGGAAAAATATATTATAAAACAATCAAAACACTTCTGTTTGCTTATAATTGGTTTGTATTTGTTAATAAATCAGGTTTCCACTAAAAAATACATTATAGAATAATGAATTTTTCTGTTTGCTTTTTATCGATTGAAATTTGAAATTCTTATATCCTCATTATCAATTAGCTGAATATAATTGAAATGAGTAGCATATTTTATATTTTCTGCAATATGAATTTATATTTTAAAATTTGTACATAATGGTATAATATCATAGCCTGTAGTATTTTCAATATAATTTTTTTTTGCTGTAAAATACTTTGCTTCTTCCCTCCGTTCCAGTCTCCAGACAACACTTATGCGTTTGATGATATCAAGCTGTGTCACTTTAGTAAAATTTACTCTAATAGCAAATGATTTTTAATAAACTTGAATATAGATCAAAATTTTTTGTTAAATTATACCTCAACATATAGCACAAGATATTAAATAATAAAGTCTTAACACATACATGTACTATTACATGCGAATGAATAAAGCTATAATATTTGATGATACATTCTGACAACAATATCACATAACATTAACGCCGAGAAGTCTAACTTGTTTTTCCGTCCTCTGGCTGAATAATGCATTGCTAGAGTTCTTGAAAAAACCTTTTTCATTACAGCTATTATATAGCTATACAGCTATACAGTAGTAGTCTGGCCAA